TTGGATGATTACTGTTGATGTATCCACTATCTCAATAGCTACTTCCTTAAATATCCTAGAATGTAACCCATCAGATCCAAATACTTATTGGCCTTTAGCTATCTTTGTTTCTTCTTCTCTAGAAAGTACATTTTATTCAGTGTAGTTAATGTATTAATTTCCTCACTTCTTTTTCTCCCTGGATTATTTAGTATTTTTTGGAATACTATTAATATCTTCCACTGTGAGACTGATGCAAAGTATTTATTCAACCCCTCTACCATTTCCTGGTTCTGCATTATTATTTCCCTAGCCTCATTCTCTAAGGACCCTACGTTCACTTTGGTCTCTCTCTTTGCTTTTATCACTTGTTTTAAAAAGCTCTCACTGTCCAGTTTTATATTTCGTGCTAGTTTATCCTCATAGTTTGATTTCAGAAAATTTCAAATTGTCTGGCTTACCTGTAATATTTGCCACGTTGTTTGTTTTTAATTTCGACTTCATGCTATCCTCAACTTCCTCGATTAACTATAGTTGGTTTATTCCCTTCCTAAAATCCTTCATCCTCATTGGAAAACATTTTTGTTGTGAGTCATGAATTATTTTCTTAAACCTCTGCTGTTGTTCATCAACTTTTGTTTCTGCTAAACCCATTTCCCAGTACACTCCACCCAACTTCATCCTCACTCCTTTTTAATTACCCTTATTTAAGTTTAGCACAAGTGTTTCTGACCCAAGCTTATTACTCTCAGACGGAATGTTAAGTTCGACCATGTTATAGTTGGTACTTCCTAGGAACACTTTTACTCTGAGATCATTTATTAAACACACCTCATACATTACTAGATCCAAAATAACCTGCTGTTTGTTTGGATCCACAACATATTGCTCTAGGAAACTGGCCACAATATACTCTAGTCTTCATTGTAGATTGGGAAAATCAATTTGGCAAGGGCAACAAGGAAAGAATTCATAAAGTCATCCATTATTAATGTATTGCCTTTTTAAATGCCCTTGTTATGCCCTGATTATTCTCTGTCCTACAGCACAGCTACTATTAGAGGGTTTTTTGATTACTCCCACAGTGTAGTCTTCACCTTATTATGTCTTAACCTCTGCCCATATGGATTCTACATCCTCCAATCCAAGATCATTTCTCATTACCTTATTTATCCCATCTTGTAGTAACCATCATAATTTACTTCCTGCCTGTCCTTTCAAAAAGTCACATCCCCTTGAATATTTAGTTCCCCACTTTGATCTCTTCATCGGCACGGCTGCATAATGGCTATAAGATTATACCCATTAAACTCTTAACCTAATTTGTTAGTTTATTTCCTGCTTACATGCCGTCATAATTTCCCTTATTTAAGTTCAAGATGCTAGTTTGGATTCATTTCTGTCGTCATCAAACTGAATGTAACATTCAATCACATTATGAATGCTGCTATCTCGGGGCACCTTCACAAAGTGGCCAATTAGTTAAATCTTTCATTGCACGGTACTAGGTCGTGTATAGCCTGCTCTTTAATTGGCCCCAGAATGGGACATTCGAAGAAGCTATTCTGAAAACATTCAATGAATTCCTCTTAAAGGCTACTTTTATTCATTTTGATTTGTCAGTCTATACAGATTAAAAGTCCTCATGATCATTGCCATACAGACTCCCATTAGTTCTTTCTTTAATACCCCACCCTACTGTGTGGTTACAGTTAGGGAGCCTGAACACCACTCCCGCAAGTAACTTCTTGCGTTCATCATTTCTCATCCAAATTCAAATTGTTTCTGCTCTTTAGTCTCCTAAACTTGGGTCTTCCTTCCCTATTGTGCTAATAATTGACTGATGGAGCTACTCCTGTACCTTTTCCTAACTGCCTGTCTTCCTAAATGTCGTGTACTTTCAAAATTTTGGTCCCAATCTATATCATCCTGCAGTCAGATTTCTGCAATAGCTATCAGATCATATTTATTTATTTCTATTAGTGCTATTAGTCTATTTGTTTTGTTCTGTATGTTACGTAGATTCAGTCACAGAATGTTTAGTTTTGTACTTTTATTATTTTTGTAACCTCTATCCTTATCTGTGATTTAGTCTTAGATATGTAATCTTCTTACTGTCCTGGCCTGTTTACCATTCCCCATGTTAACACCAATCTCTCTTACCTTTTCTTCATACTTTGACTTACCACATCTTCCTAAATTTGATCCATTCCCCTCAATGATTACTTTCAAGCCCTCTCTACTTTCCTAGTTGTGTGGTTCATGAGAACATCAGCCCTAGCACAGTCAAGTGTGAATTATCCCAATGGTATAGATCTCACATTTGCCAGGGCTGATGCCAGTGTCTCAAAACTGGAACTCATTTCTCCTGCACCAATGTTAAGCCATGCATTTCTTTCTTGAATTCTATTTGCCCAGTGCCAGTTTTCTCAAAGCTGATTTATTACTCCAGAGGTTATGACTTTTTAATTCATACCTCACTCCTCATACTAGCTTTCAGAACGCCTTTCCTTGCCTCTGTTTTTTTTTAAACCTACATGAATCATGATGTTTTGGATTCTCCCCTTCCCACTGCAAACTCCTCTGCAACCCTAACACCATGTTGTCCAAGTGTTCCACCTCCCATATATGTTGAAGGATAGACTTCAGAATATATTGAGCACTTTTTGCCTAGTCTAGTCTTTCAAGCTGCGCAACTGAATAGAGTTATAACAGCAAGCCTAATTCTATAACCCACTCTCGAAAAAGATTACCATTGACACATAGCATCAACACCAGACCACTGATCCAGCTTAGCCTTCTACAAACTACAGCAGCGTGTGCTTGGCAAAAAAAAACTTCCTTAAGTCAACAAAGTTCTATTGCACGATGTCCAAAGAAGATTTATGAGGATGTTGCCAGGATTAGTAGGCCTGGTTTATAACGAGAGGTTGGCCAGGATAGGACTTTATTCCTTGGAATGTAGGAGAACGAGGGGTGACCTTATTGAGGTGTATAAAATCTTGAAGGGCACGAATAGGATGAATGCATATAGTCTTTTTCGCAGGGATGGGGAATTGAAAACTAGAGGGCATAGGTTTAAGGTGAGAGGGGAAAGATTTAAGAAGGACCTGAGGGGCAACTTCTTCACACAGAGAGTGGTGCGTATATGGAATGGGCTGCCAGAGAAAGTGGTTGAGGCAGGTATAATAGCAACATTTAAAAAACGTTTGGAAAGGTACATGGATGGGAAGGGTTTACAGGAATATGGACCGAATGCGAGCAATTGGAACTGTCTGAATGGGCACCATGATCAGCATGGATCAGATTGGGCTGAAGGGCCTGTTTCCATGCTGTATTACTCTATGACTCTATGATATCACCGCACACCTGTCATATAGTGGGACCTGAACTATGTATCGATGACTTGGAGGAGAGTGGGACAAAATCCATCAACAATAAGTCTGCTGCAATCCACAAAATGTGATGGATTCTTGATATCCTCAGGGCACCTAATGAAGGGCAATAGATGTTGCCTTGTCTGTGTAGCCCACATTGCAGAAGTCTAGTCTTGCAAGCTGCTCAACTGAATAGCATTACCACAGCAAGCCTAATTCTATAACCCTCGGCATCCATGTGCATTCATATTTTATGGCACAGGAGTAGTAGAGAATGACTGACATTTGACGTTTTTTCTACACCAACTAAAATAGAGTTTCTGAGGCCAGATTTTGAACCTGTTCCTATTTGATGGCTCAAAATAATGACCTTACATCAACTTTATGAAATAAGGAATTAAGTGGCAAAAGCTGAAAGAGGGTGGAAAAAGAGTTAAATGATTCTCCATTGTCGATCATTTTTGTTGCATTTTTAATTTCTTGGAGCCAGTCCCAAATACATTGAATTAAACGTGAACAAAGGATTGGAGCACAGAATGAGATACTTGCATGGTAACAATGGGCAGTATTCAGTTCAGGTGACTAGGCAAAGATGATACAGCTGTCAGTGTCACAGGTAAAGAATAGAAGTATGTAAAGCAATGCTAAAGAATCCTACTTAAGCATCAAAGAGCATGGGTGTGTTAGGCAAGATGTCAAGTGTAATGTAATTTGGAGAGCCAGAGTAAAGTGTTGATGGGGGAGTACAGAGTGATGCTTATTCTGTTTTATACACCTGTCTGCACCTGTGTGTAGTTGTTTGCGCCGGAGAACATTATGGACCAGAGGGAGACCGTAGTTTTAATTTCTGTAAAAAGAAATGGCAGACCTAGTAAATTTTCCATGATGATTTGGTTTTGTTTTGTATACAAGGTGACTAATGAAAAACAAGATTGGAGGAAACTTTACTTCACACTGTGACCTAGTGGCTAGATTCTATATCTATAGTGTGACAATTGGCACAGCAAACTTTTGAATAGTTAGTGTTAACCTTTTGCCATTGGAAATTGACAAGAGAGAGATGTATCAGTGAAAATGCTGGCAATAGACTGTAAAATTTCATGTTCAGGAGAGTATACACATGCTTATGTGAATTTGTCCCCGCATATTCTGTATGAGGATGGGATTCAGAGCTGGGACAAAAGCAACCTCCTATTTGACCAATGCATAATCTTGGTACTGCGTTATTTAACAGGTGAGGCATTATACATACTATTCTGGCCAATATTGATTCTCAACCAAGGTCTTTTCTTAAAAGAAAATTATCTAGTTATGACAATGCTGTTTGTGGGAGCTTGCTGTGTACAAATTAGGTGCTATGTGTTCTGTATTATAACAATGATTAAACATTGACTGTAAATTACTTTGGGATATCCTAAGGTCATGAAAGGTACTCTATAAATGCATGCTCTTTGATTTATTTTAATCTATTGGTACCAAAGTTGATGCTGCTGATTTTCCCCCTTAACATGTCAACATGTGATCGCCCATTCTCACCATTATATTAAACCTCAAAAGAATACCTGGAAGGAAATGACATTTTGAAAATGTTGTCTACTGGCTTCCTCTAACCTCTGATTAAAAGTACCTTGCCTTTAATTGCAGGTCATTGGCAGTTGGTCATCAATACTCAACATTGGCAACTCAGCCAATCCTGTGCGGAAGTATCCCTGGGCTTGTACCTAAGCAGTTGCGGTTTTGCCGTAATTACATGGAGATTATGCCAAGTGTGGCGGAAGGGGTGAAAATCGGGATACAGGAATGCCAGCATCAATTTCGAGGGAGGAGATGGAACTGCACAACAGTTGAGGATAATTTGGCAATCTTTGGACCTGTTTTGGATAAAGGTAATTAAGTTATGGCAGCATCCCAAGAAAGGGTACCTCCTCTATTACAATGAGACAGTGGATACCAACTTGACCAATCTATTTTGTTATTGAAACTAATAAGAAGTCACTGTCTAACCATGCACTCCAGCTTGAAAGCCTCATCTATTGGGAGATCAGATCAGGGCACGCTGCCGGGTACCCTGCAAATGATTTTCCAAAATATGGTCCACTGAAGTGAGGCTTCGCTGAATGAACATAAAATGGAATCTTGTCTTTATTGCCAAACTGTATTTTGACTGTTATTTCTCACGCTACACAACATAACTGCATCTTGGGTCTGTGGTTACTTTGTTTTGGGACCATGAGAGATTTTCATTGAGGGTCTAGTCTTGAGCCTCAATGTTCACCATATTTATCATTTGGATGAAGATTTCGAGAATTATATATCCAAATTTGCAGATTACCCCAGCAGGAACAATAAGAAATAGGGGTGCATAGGTTTTAGATAGAATCGGGAAGCAGAGTCAACATTGGGAAAGGCAAGTTTTAAAATGGGCATTAGTGAATATTTTCTTTTCACAGTGCCAACAATTATTGGAATGCTTGGAAGAATTTAAAGTAATTCTTATTTATCCTCATGATGTGGGTGCTGCCAGCCTGTGCTCATCCCTAATTACATTGAGAACGTAGTGGTAGGTTCTCTTGAACAGATGGGAACAATGGCTTACTGGAATCTTCCTGAGGGCACTTAAGAGTCAACCACTTTGAAGTGGGACTGGCATTTGACATAGACTACGCTGGGTTATAGGCTGAATCAATTAAAGAGCATTGGTATAAAACAGGTTAGCAATCTGGCAGCTTCACACTTATTTTCTTCAGATTCTTTTGAAGTTGGTTATTGGCACTTGGCTTGAATGAGGAAGAGAGCACATCATATGATGTGACATCTTTAGTGTTGACAACACTCAGCATAGTACTACCTATAGGAGTAATATAGTAGAGTCTCCGTAAACCCAGAGGACAATAGGTCTGCACTTTCATTAGAGAGAGAGAGAAAGAGACAACTGATGGTGGTTTAACTTGAGGATCACCATGCCTCAGCCAAGATAGTGGTTGAAAAGGAGGGAACTTCATGGTAACCTTAGTGTGTGTGGGAATTGAAACCACAATGCTGGCTTCACGCTGCATTGCAAACCAGCTGTCCAGCTAGAAAACGCTCTACAGGAGTAATAAATACTGCTCGTACCCCCATACTAAGTTTTCAGGGATTTCTGTGCATCACATGTTAAATTTAATATGGAATAATTTTTTGCCATCTCCATCCAACACTGGTCTTAGTTTTTGAATTTATGAATAGATGACACGTTTATGTGTCTTGTTGCAGCAACAAGGGAATCTGCTTTTGTTCACGCCATCGCCTCAGCAGGTGTCGCCTTTGCCATTACTCGCTCGTGCGCCGAGGGCACTGCAAACATCTGTGGCTGTGACAACCAGCACAAGGGCAAGCCGGGTGAAGGCTGGAAGTGGGGTGGATGCAGTGAGGATGTGGAGTTCGGGAGCATGGTGTCACGAGAGTTTGCAGATGCGCGAGAGAACAGACCAGACGCACGTTCCGCCATGAATCGGCACAACAATGAGGCAGGCCGCATGGTCAGTATCCAATAAGGTTGGGAGTGGGAAAACTCAGTAAAACAAACACTATCCATGACATGATTGGAAAGGTGCATGCGATTGAGAACACCCAACAATCACCCTCTTTCAAAGAAAGAAGTAGTTGTTTTGTGACAAATGCACCTGTGGTGTGATACTAAACTATACACAGAAGTGAAATCTGAGGTTGTATCCCTTAACTCTGATAAATCAGTCGTTCTCATTCCTATTCTTCTGACTTATATTGATCTCTGGTTAAGAAACACTTTGAGCTCCACAATCTCCAGAGCTACCTGGCCTCCTCTAATTCTGGCTTCTTCAGCGTTCCTAATTAAATTTCTCCTCCATTGGCTTTTCCTTCAGTTGCCTGGGCCATAAACTCCAGACTTCCCACAGTAAACCCCCCTCTCTCTCTCTGCCTCTCTCCGTCTCTCTCTCTCCCTTTCTCTGTCTCTGCCTCTCTTTCTCTCTCACCTGTTTCTTCCTTGAGGATGCTTTTTTAAAATCTATGTCTTCAACCATGTTTTTGGCCTATCGGAGCTAAATTTTGCTTTATAATGCTCTTGTGAAGCGCCTTAGGATACTTGGTTACAACGAAGGCATTACTGAAGTACACTAGATTTTTTTATTGCTTAATGCCCAAGTTTATTTGACCCACGGGCATTGAGAGCCAGTGTAAGTTGCAGTCCTGTGTCCAAGGTAGGTTTCCTTCCCTGAAGAACATGAGTTAATCAGTTGAGTTTTTGTGGTGATTCTACCTGGTTATTGCCCTTTAAATACCCATTCAATGCATTCAGTTTTCCAACTTTCCATCATTTGATTTGGCTACTAACCAATACAGATTGTTCCTGGTTGCCTGATGGGATCTGTGGGACTCTACTACCATAGTAAGTGCTTTCAGAAGGAGGAGAGAAATTGCTCAGGGAATTACTTTCCTTCCTTCATTCAGTAGGGGTAGCATCAGAATTTGAAATATGTCATGCGCTCTGTCAGGTCATTGTTTCCTAAGTCAATGTGAATTGACTGTACTGTTTTGATTGGTGGTGTGGGATGGCCTAAATAATAAAAAGCACTGTTCTATTTCCTTCTCAGGCTATTTTGGATCACATGCATCTGAAGTGCAAGTGTCATGGACTATCAGGGAGCTGTGAGGTAAAGACGTGCTGGTGGTCACAGCCTGACTTCCGTGTGATTGGAGATTATTTAAAAGATAAGTATGACAGTGCCTCTGAGATGATCGTGGAGAAACATCGAGAGTCCAGAGGTTGGGTGGAGACCCTTCGTCCCAAGTACACTTTGTTCAAAGCTCCAACAGAGAGAGATTTGGTCTACTATGATACATCACCAAATTTCTGCAACCCCAATCCTTTGACTGGCTCATTTGGCACGCGACACCGAAAGTGCAACATCACATCACATGGAATTGATGGATGTGAATTACTATGCTGTGGCCGTGGACATGACACAAGGACTGAGAAACGTAGGGAGAAGTGTCACTGTGTCTTCCACTGGTGTTGTCATGTGAGCTGCCAAGAATGCACACGCATCCACAATGTTCATACTTGCAAATAGAGGAAGGAAGAGGCTTTCTGGGAAATTGGTGATGGTCCTGAGCTGAAACATCTTGCTACATGTAGAAGATCAAGATCTTAAGCCAAGGCTCATCTTTGTGCCCATGGATTGATCTTACTTTGCAGACAATGCCTTTTACGCACTCATATAGAAAAACCAGTGTTGACCAAATCTTCACACAGTTTAACCTTGCAGCCTGATCACAAAAAGTGACAAAATCAGGATTGTAATCTTTATAGCATTGGAAAACCTTCTGACCATCTGACACAAAGAAGCTGTGTCTGAAAGAACAAGAGTGGATCCTAAGCTCTGCTATCTAACATTTACATCAAAGAAATAGAAAAACTATTTGCTCAAGGTCTGAAAGGGAATTCTAGAAGTGAGAGACAGGCTACCAATGAACATTCTGAGTGAAAACATAGATCAGAACGACAAGGCCCACTGGGCAGATGTGGTAGCGTAATTACTGTGGACCTATTAAAGCTTTTGAATAAATTCTAACGTGGTAGGCTCTCTAAGAAATTCTGTTTATGCAAGTGTCTATTTACTCATGTTTCTTGATGGGTTTGTTCAATTTGTTCATCTTCAAGAGCAGATTGTCTACAGATGTACTCATGTTGCTCAATATCTAAACCATTTATTCAGTCAAATATGTTGCTTGGTTATAACATGTCCTCCTTTATTAAGTCTGACTAGTATACAATGAGAACATCCATGAAAGGCATCTTACAGTTGATGTGACCTCCAGCTATTCAGTAATGTAAGCGTTTTCATTTTATATTTGCAAACAAAACAAGCCTCTCCCATCTTTGACATTCTAACCTTTTAAAGTCTAAACTAATTTTTTTTTTCATAGCAACAAGCTTTTTCAGGTCTTGATAAATCATCAAGTTACCAAGATCTCAAGACAATGCCTTGATCAATCATAGTCAACCTGCCTGGTTTAAAACTCAAAGCTTGTCAGCTGATTTTCAATTATTATTAACTTTGGCATTACAATGGAGACTGCACATCAGAATCTACTTGCCAAACACTCGGTGCCCTCTCCACTTGCAAAATGGTATTTTTGTGGATTATTTAAATGAGTGTAAGATGGAAAGCTTTGACAAAATGTATCTTTATCGGCAATACTAAAGTAAGTTACTGTAATAAAACAAGTATTCAAAAATGGAGAATAATGTTGAGTTTTAGATGCTTGACTCTGTTTAGAAAATAATTGAGCTGCGCAAAGTGGATACCCTGTCAATATGTTAGTCCATCAGTCCAATTTATATTTTTAGATGTATATTAATCACATCATGTGTTAAATATCTAAAAGGAATGTTGGACATCAGCAATCCTCCTCCTCCTCCTCCTGCTCCTCTGATGCTGCCTGGCCTGCTGTGTTCATCCAGCTCTACACTTTGTTATCTCAGATTCTCCAGCATCGGCAGTTCCTAGTATCTCTCCATTAATTTATTCTTTTTTTTTTAATTACATTGACACTATGGCCTGAATTTTGCCACAATCTTTGAAATCCTGACATTATGTAAAATTGAACTCCAAGCCTGCATTTATTGGCAGCAGGATTGCTTCAGCAGTTTTATCACAGGCATATCTCCTAGTCCACACACATGATGGCTAATGCCTGAGGACCTGCTGTCCTGTTGAAGATGGTGGGGCTCCTGGTACTGCAGGCCCAGTTACCCTTCTGAGGTGCCAAGAGAACTCCTTCCCTGCTCATGGCTCCCTCTTTGGCCATCAAGCCACTGGTGCCAATGCTGCAGGCTACCTTAGGGAGGCCACATCTGGTCAGCTCTTCAGGGTAAAGGACTCACCCCACCATTGGCAAAATGTTGATGGCCCTGCAAGAGAATTCCTATTAAGATCATTGATTATACTAATAGCTGTCCACCTCCTGGAGTGTCTATCAAGCCCTCCTGTGGGTAAAATTCTCCAGTGGTGGAACCACATCAGGCACCCCACAATTGTACAGGTACCTGATTGTCAGGGAATGTAAAATCCTTGCCCATGAACTCAATATTAGAAATATTCAGTGTGGATATCACCAGCATTCCATCACCATTTTCAGAATTAACAGCAATAATTCTGGCTTCAGGGGGACTGCAAGGATAAAGTTACAGGCAGCAACTTTTTTTTAAAAGAAGAGGCAACAGTGAGATTGATGATTTCAAAGAAGCCTTGCTGAGTTACTGTGGTGTATTCTGCAAATAGTACACACTCCCACCATAGTGCTTCTATGTTGAAGGGATTCAGTTGTTAAGGTTTGAGACAACCTGCTGATCATGCTTTATCCTATATGGTGTTGAGCTTCTTAAATTGTTTTCCTACCATCTAGGCAGTCTTATTATAAATTAAAACTGATCATATAAATTAAGCTCTGTTTGCTGCTGTGACCTTCCCTGGCTAGCTTCCTGCCCAGCAATACAAGTTGGAGGAGAAAGGTAGGAACCCTGAACTGGGGTTCCCTACTACTTTCTAACTGTCTGCTGATCAAGCGATAAAAACCCTGTCAACACTTTAGTTAACAAGTGATCAATCTCCAAAGATGATATAAGCACCTGGTATTGACCCAGTTAGATGCACAGCAGATACTTTCTAAAAGAAATATAACACTGTCATACAGTCATATAAATAATTTGCATCATATAATTTTCAGTATAACGTACTATAAAGGAACAGGTGTCTTGGAACTATGATTCCCAAATGTTTCCACTAATGGTTTCCTACTGTTTGCTGTGAACACACTGCTAAAATTTGGACAAATTCCAATATCATTATATCAAGCAACAAAGTTCGCATCATTCAACTTTCTGCACTGTTTCTGTTTGGAGATTCCACACCCTAAAACCTTCTGTGTAAATAAATAAATCTCCAAAGTTAAATAAAAACCGAAAGAACTGCGGATGCTGTAAATCAGGAACAAAAACAAAGTAGTTGGAAAAGCTCAGCAGGTCTGGCAGCATCTGTGAAGGAAAAAACAGAGTTAACGTTTCAGGTCCGGTGACCCTTCCTCAGACCTGCCAGACCTGCTGAGCTTTTCCAGCAACTTTGTTTTTGTTCCAAATCTCCAAAGTTGTCTCATTGTCCTCTTGTTGTTGACTGCAAATTTATCCGCTGTGATTGCCAGCAGATTGCCCAGTTGAATATTCTCTTCGTCAAACTTCTCATAGGTTTAAAGTTTAGCCCTCTTTGTTTGAAAAGGAGTTTGCAGCTTTTCTAGTGTCTTCTGATTTTGATGCACTAGACATGCTTTGGAAATAACCAGGTTAAATGACACAAATTCAGTTTAATTATAGCCCTTCTCCCAGCGACCACAACCAACTCTCCTCTGTCTAACAGCCTCCCAAAAATTATGTTCCTTTGTGTCTGATCTCTTCAGTCCCTCGCTTTCTTCATTCCTAGTTCAGTGGCTGTGACTTCAGTTGCCTGGGAATCACATTCTCAGGTTTCCTCCATGAACCCATCCACCTCTCTCACCATCTTTTCTCCTCTAAGTTCCTCATTCAAACCTACCTCTTTGATCAAGGTTTTAATTGTCTGTTCTAATATCTTCTTTGGATTGGTGTCAACTTTTGTCTGATAACACTCCTGTGAAGTTCCTTGAGATGTTTTCCTATTTTAATGTGTTGTGCTATATAAATGCAAGGTATTGATGAATGGCTATTTGGGTGAGATATTGCCAGCACCAATGCAATTATAGTCAATAAGAGTCAGAATTCTCAACAAAACCTGGGGAGAGTGGTTTGGGCCCTTTAGACTTTCAATTCCCAATTTTTGTACAAGTACTTTTGAATTTCTTAAGATCAATTTTTTAATAATTTATTTCAAGAAAAAATGTATATATTAGTAATTATGAATATATATTTTGTTGGGACATTGCGTTTTTTTGCTTTGTGACTGTATAGGTGACCTCAGACAACTGGTAATACTTTCCACTGATGATCTCTAGATGTGTTCTCAGTGACAGTGTTACATGTTCAGTGTAAACACAACACTAATAATGAATAAAACACTTATTTCTCAGCTGAAAGTGCTGGTTTATTGTTGCATGGATCTGGGGTTTAAATCTGCGGATGTGCCTATGTATCTAATTGCGTGTAGGTGTGTGAGCCCAGTGGAATCCATGGAATCTGAATGCTATAGTGCAGAAAGAGGCCATTCAGCCCATTGTGAAAACAGCACTGGTTTTATTATGTGGTGCCAATCTCCTGCATCTTAACATATATGTGCACGTCACCCAATGCCATTTTGTATAACTGACTCCATCGAACCTGTATCCACCACATTTCTATGCAGTACATTCCGTGCCCTAATTACTGGAAGTTTGAAAGTTTTTATTTCTTGATTCACCTTTGCTTTATTTGCGCATCACTTTTTAAATATATGTCGTCTTGTTTTTTTGTCTTTTGTGAGCAGGAACAGCTTCTCCCCTTCTACTTTGTATGTGCCTGCTCATGATTTTGGAAACCTCAATTAAATTGCCTCTCAGCACTCTTTTCTCTCTGAGGAGAACGGTCCCAACTTCTTCAATCTATCCTCATAACTAAAGTGTTTCATCCCTGGAACCATTTATGTAAATCGCTTCTGCACATTCTCCAGTGTATTCACATCTTTCCCATAATGTGGTACTCACACTGTAGACAATACTCTAGCTGAGGTCTAAGTAGTGTATTGTATGAGTTCAACATCACCTCTATGCTCATTTGATCTCTGTCCCTATTAATAAAGCTGAGAAAGCTGTACACTTTATTAGCTGCTCTCTTTACCTGTGCTGCCATCTTCAATATTTTCTGCAAGCATACATCCAGGTCCCTTTGCTCTTGGACTCTTTTTAGAATTGTACCCTCAATTTTACATTGTCTTTTGATGTTCTTCTGACCAAAGTGCATCACCTCACACTACTCTGCACTGAACCTCATCTGCCATCTCTCCTCACACTTCAACAAGTTGTCTATATTTTTCTGGAGTTCCGCATTGTAATTCTCACAGTTTACAATTCTTCTAAGTTTATTGTCGTCTGCAAACTTTGAAATTGTCCCTTGCGTGCCAAGATTCGAGTCATTAAAATATATCAGGAAAAGCAAGCGTCCCAATAACAACCCCTGGGAACTCCATCATAATCCTTCTTCCAGCCCAAAATTTTCCATTTGACCATTACCCTGTTTCTTGTCAATCAGCCAATTTTATATCCACGTTGTTACTGTCCTTTTTGTACCGAGACCTACAATCATAGTTCCATCGGCCCATCCAGTCTGCACTGACAAAGTTACTTTAAGTTTACACTAATCCCTTTTTCCAACACTTGGCTCATAATCTTGAATGTTATGAAATTTCAAGTGCTTATCAAAGTACTTTTTAAAAGTTGAGGCTTCCTATCTCAATTACCATCCCAGGCATGCGTTCAGATTCCACCAGCTTCAGGGTGAAAAAAAGTCCGCAAAGCGCCTCTAAATGATCTTTCCTTCACCTTAGAAATGTGCCCCTTATTATTGACACTTCAACTAAGGTGAACAACTGCTTTCCATCTACCTTGTACATGCCTCTCATAATCTTATACACCATAATCAGGTCTCCTCTCAGTCTTCTCTGCTCTTAAGAAAACAACCTGAGCTTATCCAGCTTCTCTTTGCAGCTAAATTGCTCTGTCCCAGGCAGCATCTTAGTAAATCTCATCTACACTCCCTCCAGTGCAATCACCTCCTATAGTGTGGTGACCAGAACTGCATGCAGTACTCCAGCTTTAGCCTAACCAAAGTCCTATACAATTCTCATGTAACGTCTCTGCTCTTATTCACTGAGTACTCCCTTGTCTTGTTACTTCTTCCAAAGTGGATCATCTCACTTTTCAGTATTCAATTCCATCTGCCACTGATCTGTCCATCTGACCAACTCATTTATATCCTCCTTCTTGCTGTCAACCACCCAACCAATCTTCAGGTCATCTGCAAATCTATTTATCATCCCCCCCTTCCACATTCACATCGATATCATTTATATATATTGTATCACAAACAAAAGCAGAGGTGAAGGCCTGGTGGTATAATTGCGAGACTATTAATCCAATGAACCTGGCAATGTTGTGGGGATCAGGATTCAAA